CTCCCTCCCTCCCTTCCTTCCTGCCTTCCTCCCTCCCTCCCTCCTTCCATCCCTTCCTCCCTCCCTCTCCTTTTATTTCTTCCTTTTCGTTGGTATGCTGAGGCCCAACCCCCAGGCCTAGTGAAATACTAGACAGACACTCTACACTAAGCAATAGTCCCTGCCTACCATTCACATTTGAATGGCTATCATGGACATACAATGTTGATATAAGAAACTACCAACAGGACTTCTCTAGAAGGTGACACTTTGAGGTGAAGTATGGAACTCTGGCCAGGTATGGCACATACTTACCATTAGAAAGCACTCTCCTAGGAGGTCGAGGCAGGATGCTGGGTAGTTTGAGGCCAGATCAGGTTACATGAGTGAGTTCAAGGTAAATACAGGCAACATAATGAAATTCTCTCTCTCTTTCCTTCTCTCTTTCTTTCTCACACACACACACACAGAGTTCTGAAGTTAGGCAGCAAATGTCAACTACATGACTTTGGGCAAGTTCATACCGAAGAGCCCCAGTTTTCCCATCTGTAAAATAGGGCAAGAATTTGCTTTCTCTCAAGGATGCAGTAAGGATGAGGCACTGTAGCAGTGACTAGAAGCTATTGTCAGAAGAAAGATAAAAATCAGGGTCTGAGATGTCAGAACAACTCAATTAAAAGCAAGAGAAATTGGCCAAATCTTGGAGTTTGGATAAATAGGGAAGGATGGACAGACCAGCAGAGGGGAGTTGGAAGGAGGTTATAATGGTGGGAGGGTCAGCACTTTGTTGCAACTATCCAGAAATAAAATGATACTCCCAATACCCCTAACTGAGTTGCTAATAAAGGAAACAGATGTAGAAGGAAGAATCCACAAAGTTTGGAAACTGTTAAGGAGGCTAAAGAGGGGTCTGAAATGACTGGCATTCAGAAAGCTTGGAAAAATAACACAATCAATACAGCATCTGAAGGGGGCACTAGTGGCAGTCCGTGTTATAATGGTGGGAATGTGGTCTGAGCATCCATTCTCCAGCCAGCCTTTACCAAATGCCGACAAGTGCAGGTCAAGTGCTGGAGGCCATACAGATGAAACAGCGCACTGTCTCTCCAGGGCTGATAATGGAGACCAGTGTAACAGGAGAAAATTACAAACAATGAGGTAAGTGACCAGGAGGGATGCAACCATGTGCTGTTACAGCAGCACACAAAGAGAAGATCCTGGGGTGTGGAGAGAATTTTCTGTTCCCTTTGAACAGGAAAAAGCACTCATTGGCATTGTTGAGGAACTCTGGTGATCGTCTCTGACTGTGACATCACACTGCTATGTGTGCACTTGATCCCCCTGTAGGCACTTGGCCTACCACTGCCCTGAACTGCAGCTCATCAGCTCTAGGTCTGCTGTCTTTTCTGGAAACCTATCTCTAAGTCCCTAGTGAGTAGGAACCATCTTATAACTGCCTAGTCCCAGTGCATTAGTACCATAGTATATTTGGGTCCTGGAGAAGTCCCACAAAAGTCCCACCATACACATATATAATCAGCAAAAGTGTTGGTTATTCGTCATGCTGGGGCCATCCATTCCACACAATGGCAAAATGGTGACAACCTTGAAAGGAGCTCACAGGCTCCATTAAGTGCAGCTGAAGGGGAGGTCCTAAGGCAGCTAGATCATTTTAGATATGATTGGCTTTAAGCAAGTGGCAATCGTATTAGTATGTTCTAATTGGCCAGGGCTAGTAGGGGCTGGCTAAGGCTACAGTTTTTCCCATCTGGGGGCAGGCAAGTCTCAAGCTCTGTCCTTATTTGGTTATCACCTTGAGCTGCTGACTATGGATCAGGCCTGGCCTGGCCTGATACTGCATATACCAGGCCTCTTCATCCTTGCTATGTTGGAGATTGACTGTCCTTTGTTCATGGCTCCCTCAGAAACTGCTTACTCAGTCTCAGGAAGCTGAAAGTGAGGCCTGATCTCTGAGAGACGACTGAATAACCTGTTGTGGCGTCTGCTCTGTCCTCTCAAGTACAGCACCAAGCATGCTGTAAATCATGTTAAACAATTTAGCAGAGGGCTGAGAAGATGGTTAAATGGATAAGAGCACTTGCTACACAGAAATAAGGACCCAGTTTGGATCCCCAGCACCTATGCAAAAGCCAGATGTTGTAGCACACACCTGTAACCCCAGAACCATAGAGGGTGGGGATGGGAGAGTCACCGGGCCTAGCTGGCTGATGGTCTAGTCCAGAGTCACTGAGAGCCCTGTCTCAAGGAAATAGAATGAAGAGTGATAGAAAAGAGACACCCGGCATCCTTTGGATTCCATGCAGGCACAGGCATGTGCACTCATGCACATATACCTCATACACAATAATTTAACTAGAGGCACAAGCTAACCAAGATAGATGCATCTCTCTGTTCAGAAGTCCATGATCTTCATGGACTCGCATGGACAGCACTTTGGTATAATTCACCACTGCCCTATAAAATGTTCTGATCAGGAAACCGAGGAACAGAAAGGTTGACTTGTCTGACGTCAAAGGAAGTCCAGACTCCTGCAGAACAGCTCTGGGCCACCCTCCTGACCTCTACACAGTCCAAAGGCTCATCATGTGGTCAAGAAAAGAGGGCATGGTGAGTCTTGAGGGCTTCTCTAAGCATGGCAAAGGTCTGGAGAAAACCTGGAACTTTCTCTCACTGAAGACCTGACATTCTAAACCTGTAAGTTCACTATCAACTGGTAAACTGACTATGGAACATTTGCTCCCCGTGTGTATAGGTAAAAACTACTAACCATAACTTCACTAGTCCCCGAGTCCTCGTCATGGTACTAGACATTACTTGTGTCCTCCCTTCCTTCTCTCAAGGGCAATTTCTCAGAGAATGCTTTGAAATGATAAATTTTTTTTGTTGTCTCTTGGTTAAAATTAATGTAGCACTTATGTTTGAGACTCTAAATATTATCCTCTATTCTCATTTCTTCTACCCTGCCATTTCTCACCCAGAACAATGCAGTCACAGCATCAAAGAGGTGGTCCAGGGCTGGGGATAAGGCCAGGATAGAGTGAGTGCTTGGCATACGTGAGGTCCTGGATCCAATCTCCAGCAAAGAAAGAAGGAAAGGAAACATGGAGGAAGCACAAAGGGGAGGGAGAGCTAAGCTTCCTATCTGCAGTGGAAAGAAATAAATGGGTTCATCCCCTATCCTGCTTGATGATGGAGAATACCAAAATTAAAATGTCAAAGCCCTGTCTCAGACTTTTACATTTTCTTCCTTCAAAAATATTTTTCAACACAGGCCACACCCACCAAAAACCAGGTAAGGCTGCCCACAGACCTCTCTCTCTCTCTCTGTTCCCAGACTCATTTCTAGCATTGTAACAGAACACTAGCTACAGCCTTCCCTCACCCCTGCTCACATCTCCTGTGGATCCCACAAACCACCCCCTTCTAACCTCCCTTACCCCGCTTTTGGCTGTGTCCCAGACCTCAACTCCAGCAGGCACCCCTTGCCAATCCAAGGGCAGCTCCTCCATGAGCAACAAGTAGGCTGAAGGTGGACCCACACCTCTCCTTCTGCTCCTGAGACCCAACCACCAATCACATCCCCAGCTCTGTAGCAGGAAGCCTTCTGTGCCCTCCCTTCCCTCTCTGACCCCATCCCCAACAGATCACAAAGACCTTCTCCCCCAACCCCTCTTCCCCCAACTCAACCCAGTGTCCCAGCCTCCAACAGGAGCAGGCATTCCCTCTAAACACACCAGCTCAACAGGCTGGAAAAACAGACAACACACAGCCTTCACACGCTCTGAAAATCCAGAGAGGAAACAGAAACCAAGGAACAAAACATCCACCCAACAAAGACAAGACCAGAAATTAGCACCTAGACCTTTAATCATCCCAAACCCAGATGCTGAAACACCAGCTTAAAAACAGAATCAACAACATCTAGGGCAATATGTCTTTATTAGAACCCAGCTATTTTATCACAGCAGGCCCTGAATATTCCAACATAGCTGAAGCACAAGAAAAAGACCATAAAACTAACTGTATGAAGATGATAGAGGTGCGTAAAGAGGAAGTGAATAAATCCTTTAAAGGAACCCAAGAAAACAAAAACAAACAATTGGAGGAAATGAATAAATCCCTTAAAGAAAGCCAAGAAAAAAACAAACTGAAGGAAACTAATAAAACTGTTCAAGACCTGAAAATGTAAATAGAAGCAATAAAAAAAACAAAAAACAAAAAACAAAACCAACCTGAGGGAATTCTGGAAATGAAAAATTTAGGAATTCAAACAGGAACTACAGAGGCAAGCTTCCCCCAACAGAATATGAGACGGAAAAGAGAATCTCAAGTGTTGAAGATATGATAGAAGAAATGGATACATTGGTCAAAGAAAACGTTAAATCTAAAAAACTCCTGACATAAATCATCCAGGAAATCTAGGACACTATGAAAAGACCAAACCTAAGACTAAAAGGAATAGAGAAAGAAGAAGAATCTCAGCTCAAAGGCCCAGAAAAATGTTTTCAACAAAATCATAGAAGAAAAATTTCCTAACTTAGAGAAGGACATGCCTATAAAGGTACAAGAAGTTTACAGAACACCAAATAGACTGGACCAGAAAAGTCCCCTTTCCACACAATAATCAAAACACAAAACACACAGAACAAAGAAATAACATAAAATAAAAGCTGCAAAGGAAAAAGACCAAATAATATTTAAAGCCAGACCTGTTAGAATTACACCTGACTTGTCAGTGGAAATTGTAAAATCCAGAAGGGCCTGGACAGATATGCTGCAGACTCTAAGAGACCACAGATGCCAGCCCAGACTAACTTTCAATCTGGAAAAAAAAAAAACCAAAAAACCAAAAAAACAAAAAACTTTCAATCACCATAGAAGGATAAAATAAGATATTCCATGATAAAGTTAAATGTAAATACCTATCCACAAATCCAGCCCTACAGAAAGTGCTAGAAGGAAAACTCCAACCTAAGGAGGTTAACGCAATATGAAAATACATGAAATAATCTCACACCAGCAAAATCAAAAGAAAGGAAACACACACACACACACACACACACACACACACACACACACACACACAACCACTACCACCACCAACAACAACAAAGTAACAGGAATCAATAATCATTGATCATTGATATCTCTCAATACCAATGGACTCCACTAAAAAAAAAAAAAAAGACAAAGACTAACAGAAGGTATGTAAAAACAGGACCCATCCTTCTGCTACATCCAAGAAACACACCTCAATATCAAAGACAGACATTATCTAAGGTTAAGGTTTGGAAAGAGATATTCCAATCAAATGGACCTAAGAAGCAAGCTGATATAGCTAGCCATTTTATCTAACAAAATAGACTTCAAGCCAAAACTAATCAAAAGAAATAGGGAAGGACATTACATACTCATCAAAGAAAAATCCACCAAGATAACATTTCAATTCTTAACATCTATGCCTTAAACACAAGGGCACCCAAGTTTGTAAAAGAAATACTACTAAAGCTTAAATAACATATTGACCCTTACACACTGGTAGTGGGAGACTTCAATACCCACTCTCACCAATGGACAGGGCATCCAGACAGAAAAATAACAGAGAATACTGGAGCTAATAGACATTATAAACCAAATGGACCTAACAGATATTTACAGACCATTTCACCCAAACACAAAATATACCTTCTTCTCTGAACTTCACAGCACTTTCTCCAAAATCAACCACATACTCAGACACAAAGCAAGTCTCAACAGATACAAGAAAATTGAAATAACTGCCTACATTCTATCAGACCATCCCAGATTAAAGCTGGAAATCAACAACAGAAACAACAGAAAGCTTACAAACTCATTGTGGTGGTTTGGAAGAAAATAGTCCCCATAGGGGCTGACATTATTAAGAGGTGTGGCTTTCCTGGGTAGGTGTGGACTTGTTGGAGGAAGTGTGTCACTGTGGGGGTGGGCTTTGAGGTCTCCTTTGCTCAGGCTATGGCTAGTGTGGGACACAGACTCCTTCTGCTTCCTGCAGATCAAGATGTAGAACTCTTAGCTCATTGCCCACCATTATGTCTGCCTGCATGCCACTCTCTCCATGACAATAATGGACTAAACTTCTGAGCTGTAAGTTAGCCCCAATTAAATGTTTTCCTTTATAATAGTTGTAGTCATGGTGTTTCTTCACAGCAATAGAAACCCTAACTAACACACTCATGGAAAATGAACAACTCTCTACTGAATGAAAAATGGGTCAAGACAGAAATAAAGAAATTAAAGATATTCTAGAATTCAATGAAAATGAATACACAGCATACCCAACTTATGGGAAACAATGGAAATGGTGCTAAGAGGAAACATTATGTAGGCCTACATTAAAAAATATTGGAGAGATCTCATACTAGTAACTTAACAGTACACCTGAAAGCTCTAGAAAAAAATAAGTAATCATACCTAAGAGGAGCAGATGGCAAGAAATAATCAAACTGAGGGCTGAAATCAATAAAATATAAAAAAAGAGTCAATGAAACAAAGAGTTGGTTCTTTGAGAAAATCAACAAACCTTTATCCAAACTAATTAAAAGGCAAAGAGAATATCCAAATTAACAAAACCAGAAATAAAAAGAAGGACACGAACAAATCTAGAGAATCATAAGTACATACTTTAAAAACCTGTACTCAATCAAATTGTAG